AACTTATCATTAAATATGGACTATATAGCAATCTGTTATGTCCTCATTTTTAGAGCACAAAGAATTAAAAAAACAACAATGGATAACAAACTTATACCTTGGATCCATTCCTTAAAATCAGAAGAATACCTTTCGCTCCAATTACATAAAATTATAACCTTTGCTGTAAAGATAAAACCAAAGCTCTTCGTAAGATAATAAATTCTATATTTTAAGAATATAATTCAATGTTATACTGAGATCCTAAACGTATTTCTCCACAAGATTATGTTAACGTATATATTAATTTGAAACCTAAACAAAGCTATAACAGAGCAAGACCAAATCATACGAGTTAAAGAACCTTCAGATTTCCTACCCTGCCAACAAAGAAAATTAGTCCATCCCTTTTAAAAGATTATTTGAGGGGTCTCATAAACCCCAAATAATATTTATAGATAATTTCATTTTTAAATCACGAGAAGTATATTTCATGTGTTTTAGTGCCTAGAGCTTGTTTAGGGACCATGGAGAACAGGTTTAATCCATGGGACACCATCTGTTTGGCTCTGGAGGCTCTCTGTCATAAAATGTTACAAGGAAATGTCTAACAATATAGAAACTCCTGGGCATTTAGAGAAGGAGCATTTGTAAACAGAAACCAAAACTGGAGGTTGTTTGTTAATTCAAAAGTGGACTGCACTGACATATAGGCTGGGTTTCATCATTCTATGGACTCTGAAGAAGCAGGGTGGGAAGAATATCGACACCTTTGAAAGTTGCTGTTGGAGAAGACTCCTGAGAATACCCTGAACAGCCAAGAAAATGAACTGATGGATCACTGAACAAATCAACCTAGAGTTCTCATTTGAGGCACAAATAACTAGGCTCAAATTATCCTACTTTGGGCACATTATGCAAAGACCTAGCTCTCTGGAAAAGGCTCTAATGCTGGGAAAGGTGGAAGGAAAGAGAAGAAGAGGACGACCAGCAGCAAGGTGGATGGACTCAGTTACAGTGGTGATGGGAGCACCGTTGGGAGACTTGAAAGACCAGGTTAGGGATAGGCTGTCTTGGAGAAAATCTATCTATGTGGTTGCTAGGAATCAAAAATGACTTGATGGCAGATAATCAATCAATCAATCAATCAATCAATCAATCAATCA